TGCCTGCCTTTGCTGCTGCTGTTGCTGCTGCTGCTGCTGCAGCATCACCAGAAAATGTGTTTGCTCGTCTCTCTTTTGCTGCTGGACTTGAGGGCGTCTCTCACTGGGGAAGGCCAGGATTGCTGAGGGCATTCTTTAAGGACAAAGAAAGTGCCCGTAAGTGAGCTGCTGCTGCAGCTGCAGCAGCTGCTTTTGCTGCTGCTGTTGCAGCTACTGTTGCTGCTGCTGTTACTGCTGCTATTGGTGCTTCGGTTGCTGTTGCTGCAGGTGAGCGACACGCCGTTGCTGCTGATTGTGGTCTGTCGCGCCTGCGCACACCCATCTCTCGCTTCTGCTGCTGCTGCTGCTGCTGCTGCTGCTGCTGCTGCTGCAGACGCGTTCCTGCCCCCATCATCCCCTTACCTGCTGCTGGAGTGTACGTACACCTCACCAGCTCTTCTGTGCACTCGCCAACTTCCTCCTCCCATTTCTTTCACAACCAAACAACCCACTCAAACCCTGGGGGCCCCCCAGGGGGGCCCCCAAGGGGGCCCCCAGGGGGGCCCCTCAGGGGGGCCCCACAAGGAGAAGGGGGCCTCAAGGGGTACTTCTGCAGATACCCAGGGAGCCCCCTTTCCTGGGGGCCCCCAAGGTGGTTCATCTTCAAGGGGCTCTCCAGGGGCCCCCCAGGGGGGCCCCCAAGAAGGCCCCACAGTGCCCCCAGGGGCCCCCCAAGGGGGCCCCCAAGGGGCCCCCCAAGGGGACACTCAAGGGGGGCCCCCAGGGGGCCCTCCCTTACGAAAGAGCCGCAGCGAAAAGGGTACAGCTGAAAAGCCAAGGGAGGGGCGAAAAGGGGGCCCCCAGGGGGCCCCCTTAGTTTCGAGAACTGTAGAAAGTATTAAGTGGGGGATTTCAAGGGCCTCCATTCGTTTGCGAGAGGGTACGTCTTTGTTGCTGCAGGGTTTAGGGTTTAGGGTTTAGGGTTTGGGGTTTAGGGTTTGGGGTTTAGGGATTAGGGTTTAGGGTTTAGGGTTCAGGGTTTAGGGTTTGGGGTTTGTGCTGCTGCTTCAGCTCATCGCCGCTCCCAAACCCTCCCATCTTTAGGGTCTCCTGTAGAAGGGGGGCCCCCTCAAGACGAGGGCCCCACGAGGGGCCCCCTTAGGGGCCCCTCTAGGGGCCCCCTTAGGGGCCCCTCTAGGGGCCCCCTTAGGGGCCCCCATATGAAAACCCCTCGGGGGGCCCCCAAGGGGGCCCCCAAGGGGGCCCCAAAGGGGGCCCCCAAGGGGGCCCCAAAGGGGGCCCCTCAAAGTGCTAAACGAAAGTCGCAAGTACCCGTCAGGCTTGAAGGAGTTGGGGGCCCCCAAGGGGTCCCCCAGGGGGGCCCCCAGGGGGACCCCCAGGGGGGCCCCCAGGGGGACCCCCAGGGGGGCCCCCAGGGGGGCCCCCGTGGCCCCCCTGGGGG